CTCCCTCAGATACGTCCCCTCTTTTCCTCGCTGACACATTGGTTGCATCTCTGTCTAACTAGAGTCAAACAGTCAAGGCTTTACTTGTGCAAATGTCGTGTTGCGACCGGATGTGTTGGTCTGTTCGTGCCCAGGGACAAGTTGCGGCTTTTGCAAGCAGATGGACGACAGCACATCTTGGAGTGCCAAGCCAACGAGAATGAAGTCGGTTTGCAAACGTTCCCCCATGCAGTCCGTTTCCTTGCTGCCATGTAACTCTGCGACCAAGGCCGTGCTCTTGCCAAGCGCATCTTTTTGCGAGCAAACACATCGAAGTCTATGCAGGTTGGTTCGGTTCCTCGGCGCATACCTACCGTTTGCAGCCAACCCAGTCAAAGTCGCATCAGACCGACATATAGAAAACATGATACTCATTGACTACGAGTGAAGATGTTAAAGGATGCTTTCTTTGCTGAACGAGCTTTCTTTCACTGCGATTACCATAAAACCAAGTGCCGTCGAGGCAATTGGCTCCTGGAGAAGGATCCCGCGTTCCAAATTCTATCGAGGTGGACCAGGTGCGGGGTTAGCGTTCAACACCACAGGAATTCTGCAACGTTTGTGTGGCCGGGCAAGGATTCAGACGTGGCCTTGGCAACGAAGCTGGAGCGTGCAGCAGCTCCAATTGTCCTACTGTTGCAGCGTGCTCTTACACACCTGCCAAGGCAATGTGCCGTGAGGAAGCAATCCCGTTTCCGCAACGCCTTGCGCCTTGTCAACTGCAATTCACGGTTCGGAATGTCCAAGGTGATGGCCGCTGTGGCTACCGAGCGCTCGCACTTTGCTTGGGCACAAGCAGCCGTTGCGTTATGCAAGGCGTTTTGCGTGCAATGGTGCAGCATCAACATTTAGGCATCTCTCCAGCGGCCATCATTCAGTTGGCGATCGCATGCGACTTTCGAAACGCTTGTCCAACTGAAGCCTGGCTCACGGATCTTCACTTGCGAGCTTTTGTTGCTGCCAACCCAAGCCTGTTCCCAGCAGGGATCTTGGTCAAGGTTTTTTACCAAACAGACGAGCTGTCCTTTGTTCATTTTCAGCATTCAGCCGAGCCGGTGCATCTCCCGAAAGAAACCGTTGCGGCCCAACTATCTGAAGGTTGGAATCCTGCTATTCTCGGCCTTGTGCGACAGCCCACGTGCCATTTTGTGCAGCTCTCACACACACCACCCAGCTGCTTTCAAAATGCCGGACAGCTCCTCCCGAGCCAATCCACATCGGCCATTAGTTGCTCCGTCACACCTACTTGCGCACGTGCTTCGGCTATGCCACTGTCTGTGCCAACAAGTACCACCCGGTTCGAAGGTGGCTCCTCTTTTGGCTCATCTCGTGGACCGAACACCGACTTGCAAGTGTGTATACTCGTGTATGCAATCGGCGTTCCTGATGATGTGTTTCAATTCGCCTCCGTGTGCAAAGCATTGCGAGACACAGTGCACGAGTCGGCCACATTGGCCCATGTTCCTATCTCGTTGCTACCCTGTGCATGCAAACGACTGTGTACGAATCAAGCGCTACTAGCCTTGTCGCACCAGCAATATCCTGTCTGTCGCGGACTTCGGCTTGAGAGTTCTAGGCCCAAAACCTCAGTCCAGGCGCAGCGATTGCAATGTGCGCGAACCATGTTGCCTCTCTTTCAGACCCATGTGTGGATTGCCCAAGATTGGTCCCCGTGTCTCTTCACTTCGTCCATATCGTTATCCACGGATTTGCAAAATCTGGATTCTGTGGACTTGTACATTGGTTTTGTCAATTCGGCATGTTCTTGGAGCCTGGCCGAGCAACTCGCCACTGGCTTCATTTCGAATGATCGGTTTTGGGCTGGCAGGTTCAAAGTCAACTATGGCATTTGCTCCTGCTTCAAGTGGGTGACAACTGAAGAAGAACTGCCGGTCGTGCAAATTCCAACAATTTCTCTTGCCAGGCCCCTACGTTCCACAGTGGTCTTGTCCAGAGTCCACATGACTTTGTTTGATGCTGAAGATCGAGTGTTGACTCGTTTGTCTCTTCCTTCTCGCTGGCAAGTTCCTACCGGAGCCAACAGTCTGCGAGCGTTCGTGGCGATGGCCAGCGGTGACGACAACATGCTACCGCTTTCGGACACATCCGCAGTCACGGCAACTCTTGCCACAACGACGGATGGTGCTTGGTTGGCCAAAAGGTTTGTGTTGCAGCCCACGCCTTCATCCGTGAATCGCTGCTGCGCGCACGATGTCTTAGTCACCCATCAAGATATCCGGGGCGGTGCTTCAACTCAAGCCCCAGTGCTTGTCCAGCCTGAACATCCGGCCGCAGATGTACGAAGCTGCCTTTCTACAGATTCTGAAGTCAAGCGACCCACGAAGCCCAATCATCGACGCGAATCTTGGGCGGATATCACGGACGACACCAGCGACATATGTTTGACAGAGCAGCCAAGTCGAGAAACCTGTACTTCTCCACTTGTTGCTGTTGACCCCCACAAACAAAGCCAGATGCGACAAGGCTTGCATCTGTTCTTCACCGTCTACATGGAAGTTGAGTCCCTCCTGAATGCAACGGGGATTGCGAGTTCTTTTCTGCATTCCTGGCAGTCACTCTGTGACATCGATGAGTCAACAGCCGCTGCGCGCATCACACACGCGTTGCTCAAGCAGCAGCGGCGTCTTCCTTCCGGCCGGAGCGTGTGGCAGCATCAGCCACTGAGCTGGACAGTGGTGACTGGTTTGGCCGCACTCAGTGCACGGCATGGTGGCAAACCCTTGTGCATATACAACATCTCCAGCGGTGTCTGCCTTGCTTACGGCAATGGGAGCTGGCATCGCCAGATGCAGTGTCCACCACATGCGTGTGACATGATATTTCTCAACCCCTGGACACAAAGACATTTCCACTGCCGCTCCGCTTTCACAGCCGACGGCCACGAAAATGACGTGGAATTGCTGTTGTGCTTTCCGAGACTTGCTTATGGAAACACACATGAAGCATTTTTCGAATGCCTCGACGTCACACGGCTTGAAGCTATCATGTTCCTCCGTGCTTCTGGCCTCGCAGAAGACGGCTGCATGTCCCCGTCCTTACGACATGGCTGCACACCGGACTACATTGGCATGCTCCAGCTCTGCTGCTGCACAGCCGTCGTTCCGCCTGCAGGCCTGCTGTTCCTGTGTTCAAGCGGGCACTTCCTGCACATGAGCACTCGGGCTGTGCTGCAAGGTCTTAGCCTCGCTGATGCAACAAATCTTCTGTTCGCAGGCGCCTTCTTAATCTATGTGCAGCTAGCTGAACAGTGGATCTGTAGAGCAGTCATCAAGCCAACGGAACAAAGCGCATGGTGTGGTCGCTTCTTGCGCAATGCCGGTGAGGCGCGCTATGGCCGCGTACCACTCGCCGCGCAACCTCATCTGCCAGCTTATGTTGCCTCCCAAGTTCTTTCCGGCGCCTGCTGCCATAGATGTCCTTTGATATCAACTCTGTGTGTTGACGGTGCGCCTGCAAGTTCGCGCGATGTGCACATGCAACCCCCCTCGAGACACAATGTGGTCGATGGCCCAGGTGCTCAATCGGTTGCTTTCTTTGGCGGTGCGGATAGTTGGAAATCCTGGGAGTCCGGTGAAGGTCATCTTTGCCGCGTGCGTGCACGTGGCAGCTGGGATGACGGCACTCCAGTGGGACGGGGCTGGGGCCAGCCGTATCTTCAGCCTAAATATGCGCGGTTCCTTGCATCGGGCTCAAAAACCATCGAAGGACGCCCTAGCGAAGGGTGGGTGACAGGCGCCGTGCCGAATGATTGGGTGACTTTCAAAATTTCAGCATCCGGCGGCCGTGTACTTGTCTGTCGTGTGCTTGACGTCCACACATTCGATAGCTTCCAACTCATGCTGCAGCGGTTTGGCGTCAGCAACTGTTTGCCAGACCAGAGCTCACTTCAAGCAGCAGTTGACACGTACTATGCGTTTGCCAACCGACGCGGAACATCATACCGAGACCTGGAACACCTCTTTGGAGTCACAGCGCTGCACCTCGCACCGCTCATTGCTCCTGAGGCGCTGGTTCCTCCGCTGCGACACTCCCCCCTTCGCGGCGGAGCTGAAGATCCGGGTTCGGCTTCTGTTGGAGATGTGCCAATGGAAGGCTCGCCTAACAACGAACCGTCCTTGAATTTCCCTTGAAATGCAAGCCCCAGTCGAGCATGTCCACGAAAGCGAAGAAGAAGCTCCGCACGCAGGTCACCGCATGTCAACGTCCCTGCTGCACGGAACCCCGCAGCAATTCAACGAGGAATTCCGAAGAATCTTCATTTCCAACCCTCGCAGGGCATCCGTCGTCAGCCGCTATTTGGTTGCACACATGGTCAAGTTCCCGGAAGATCGACTGCAGCAAGTCCTACCCGAGATCCATCGGATGACTCAATCCCTTGCGAGGAAAGCAGGCTGTCCTTTCGAGTGGGCTTTCTTGCTTTTCCTGCCTGTCCTTGCCACCTCGTGCAGCTCTGCCCGACTTTTCATCAATGAATTCTTTTTGGTCCCGCCTCTACTGTGGATCGGCCTCTGTCTAGACAGCGGCGCTAACAAGAGTGGCGTCCTTACCGCTATAGCCGACATCATCACGGGGTTCGAGAAGCATCTCTTGGCCGAAGCCGAGAAATCCATTCGGCAAGAGCAAGCTGATGCGGAATCTGACGATGAAGATGCGTTGGGAGTAGCAGATGAGGCAAGAGCTCAAGACCAAAGAGAACGAGCTGCAAAACGGCGCAAGGTCGCCCTCAACAAGAAGCTCGCATCCCTCCGCAATAACCAGCCGCAGATTTTCTGTGACGAAGGGTCGCTTCCGGCGATAGGTATGCAGATGTACCAAAACCGCCATCGAGCTGTGGGCTTGTATGATGAGGGGCGGTTCTTGCTGCGTGCCCTCGCTATTGGGGAAGGGTCCGGCTTCAACCCGGCCACCATGAGCAAACTGTTCAATGGAGCATCCTGGAAGCGGACCGTTGTGAAAGACCANNCATTCCATGTCGAAGAATGGCATGCCTTTCTAGAAAAAGACGAAGCTTTGGGTATGCAGTCACGCTTCCTCATGTTCCACAGCGCCCCCCGGCTCGATAAGGCCGCTGCTGTTCTCGAGCAAGAAGTCTATGAAGTAGAGCAGCGTGATTCGCAGCCCACACTGTCCCTGCCTGCACCGTTGCTGCAGAAGTTTGTAGAACTTCTAGCAGTTTCGGAGGTTGCTCACTGCAACCAAGCTGACGATTATGATCGGCAGCGGGAATACATCCCCTACTTCTTTGCGACCGATGCGCTCGAAAGATTTACGCAGCATTATGATGCGCAGGTGCTCGCTCAAGAAAGCTCGTATCTGACGAACCCCAAACTCTTCAGTCGGGCGGGTAAGCTGAAATCTTTGCCGTGGCGCCTTGCTCTCCTGCTTCATGTCTGGAACAACGCGTGCGCCAAGGTGCACAACAACGATGCACCATGGTCTCGCAAAATACCAGCTAACCTCGTGCAGCTGTCAGGAGACATATTCGATTATCTGTCTTTGCAGTCTCAGATTCTGTCGCCCAACAGCGATTTGCTGGGCGTGCTTTCGTCCTGCAACCTGCTCCAGGAAGCATCACAGAAATTCCCCTACTTGACCCTGTTTCTTGAAAAGAGGGAACTTCCTCTACCTCCGCCGGGCGATGGCGAGGACGGCGACGGAGCACCAACAACGTTCGACCAGTGGTGGGATGCGCTTGATGCCGACTCGCGTCTCTATGCTTTTCTAGCTGCCAGCTGGGTTTTATCGTCCACCACCACCCTCGTGGTGGATCGAGCAAGCGTCGTGAAGAAGCTTCACAACAAGGATTCAGGCGAAAAGCTGCCCAGCGAACATGCAAAGACGCACGTCGGCAATGCATTTCAGCTACTGCACTATGCCCATCTTGCTGTGTTGCGAAAGAAGGGGACCGCACTGCGCATTGTCAAGCAAAAGCATCGGTCGCTGCAGTCTGCAACTCTTCCATTCTGTAACTTGCTCAAATTGTTTCGCCACAAGCACGCCGCTAATGCTGCGCAGTACAACCAGCAGTGTGTCGTATTGACCGACGCCATAAAGAAACAATTTAAAGCCGACGCTGAGGCCAAGTTGGATGATCCACAGGCTGAGTGCATGAACCCTGTGTTTGCGAAACTTTCGGACTTTGTGACTTCCGTAGACCCTTTCGAACAAGCGCCGAAGGTCCTCAAGCAAAAGATGTCCGGAGGAGCCTTGTCAGCTTCGCTTTATTGGAAGTCCCTGCTGTACCCCGCGAATGTGGACATGCTCCCTGCATTTATCTTCGCTAACCTGCACGCGGACAAACAGTGTTGCAGCGCCATCGCAGCAGCTGTGCTTGCGCAAACTTTCGCAGGCGCTAGGTTGACTGAGACAGATTGCGCTTTTGTTTTTGACAAGCTCCATGCTCACGCCCCACATCTGCTGAAACAAGCTTTGCCTCCTGATTCGAATCTCCCACGTTTCTGCATCCATCCGCATCACTTCTTCTGCCAGACATGCACACGTCCCTTGAAGCAAACTGCTTCAGCTGTTGTGCCTTTTGTCGATGACTTCTGCAGCCGCAACACTTGTGTGCTGCGCACATTCTTCTGCTCAAGCTGCTCTGCCACCTACTTTGGCCCTTGGCAATGCAGCCGCAGCAACGGACGGGCGTCACGCTACCTTCTTACAGCAACTCCGGCGGCATTATGCCCCACCTCGGGCCTTGTGTTTGCTTCCGCGTTCCTGTCCCAAACAACTAACTTGATACTCCATTGTGGAGCTACGTTCCGTGGCCTCGTTCAATGCATCAAAAACCCACCCTACGATTCCAATGCCATGGAGCGTGTGTTGCGGGATGCCTGGCTGCAGCATGCTGTTTCGAACTTTCTGG